GTTGGGCGGTGGCCGCCTCGGGGGCGCTGAGCGGGGCGGGAGGGCGGCCATGGCGGAGCGTCGCGCGGCCTCGGTGCGGCCGGCGCCCCCCAGCGGGAGCCCCCCGGGGCGCTGCGCGTGGCCGCTGCCGGGTTTGAGCGAAGCTCCGTGGCTGTTCTTCACGGGGAAGGCGGGCACCAAAGTGCTCGACCCTTCTCCCACTGCAGGAATCTATGGAAGAGCCCTCTGAACGTGGTCCGAGAAGCTCTCAGCTTCCCGGGGCGCTGCTGGCCTTTTTTGTTCYGTGCCAGCTCAAAGTCTGAAACCTTTCAAAGTCTGAAATCGTATCTTTTAGATCTGGAGATAAAAGAATAGCCCAGCTGGAGGCATTCTGCCAATGCCAACTGCAAGTACAGAAATCCAGGCTTCCCTAGAGAATCCAGGCTACATACTCAGTAGCAGGAAAGGGTGGAGTTTCTTGGTATTAACTGTAAGGTAAATGAGGTGCTCTGTTGGGTCAGTGGTGCTCCAATGCCAAGAAAACGAGTCCGAGAGAACTTGGTCCAAAACTACTATTGCAAGGATTTTAGGTTTGTAGTGGTGTTTCTAATGTAGTTCATGATATCAGTGCAGTGTAAGAGTTTGTATGAATGCATTAGGAATTGGATTAGGTTCTGGAGAGGGTGAACTCTTGGCTGTATGTAACAGCAAAGCATTTTGAAATAAATGGAAATTTAGGGTKTTTCTCACAGATAAAATTTTGAATTTTATGCATCATATAGACTTCCTAAGCAATGTTTATTGAAATACARGTAGTTATGTTTGCAGAGGTAAATAGTTGCAAGAAAATGAATTGTTCTGGATTTTTGTTTTATAAATAATGCGTGTTTTTAGATAAAGAATTTCTTTTATTTTTTTAGGGTCTGCAAAGAGGAACTTTTTTCAGTACGCTTGCCAGAAGGAGCTCTGTCAGAGCCTGGAATTTCGATGAGGAATGGCACCCACCAGTACAAAGGCAGTGGCGCATCTGTTGTGAATGGCAGCTGTTGCACAGCACTGAGAATGCTACATCCTCTTGCTATTTACAGACAACTGCTTCATGTGTTATCCCTTTTGTATGGACACCTGTAAAATAGACTAAATGCTTTTTCCTTTGTGAAGTCACCATGTGTTTTTCAGATACTATTTTTTAAAATAGTCTAACTAGACAAACATCATAAAATGTCCCAGAGGTTTTTAAAGTCTTAAGCGCCAAAGATCACCATACAAAGAAACACAAGGGCTTCCTCATCACTCACAGGGGTTATTGTGCCTCTGGATTAATAGCAGTGTGTAGTCTGTAACACTGGAACTTGCTTAAATCCCTGTTGTAGCGTTCATGGCTTTTCCACTAAATGTAAAATGCATGAGTTAATTCCATTCATCATTAAAAGAGGCTGTAAATTGCAGGGGGTCTTTTGTTTTAAGTTATGGTATTTCTACTACGGAAATTGAAGACAGTAAAAYGTTAGAACAACTAATAGAGATGAAAGTAGAGAAGTTCTACAGCACAGAAAGCAGAAAAGAAATATGCTGGGAAATATCTTCAGCTGACCCCTTTGATAAGACTAAGTTGTGTGACAGATCTGATGTGGAAGCAGAAATTGTACAGCAATAGGAAGTTGTTATCTCCATATCTCAAATGCTAACACAGTTTCCCCAGTCAACTATGAGATAGATCTGCTCTTGTTATGACAGCTGTTGGAAACTGATGTCAGTAGAACTGTACAATGTCTTTTGATAGTTTTAAATATTACAAATGTTAAAATATGTTTATGATGTTATCTAAGACATGATGTTTGGAGATGGCTCTATTTATAACCAAGAATTGCTCAAGCTATTTTAATAAATAAATAAATGATATTTATACTTGTGAGTTTCCTAGTCAGATTTGCTTGAAAAAGCATTGTGAACGCTCTCTTTCTGAAGACTTAAGCCTGAGGATTAATTAATGTTTATACAGCACTTTGCAAAAGTGAAGTCGTAAGTGCCAAGAATTATTATTATTTAATCTCTAAAACCGAGATCAATGAAAGGCTAAGCCGTCACAGCGCTGCTTTTTARAATAACAGAGTTGCTGAAAATCTTCCACTCCCTACTTAAGTAGGTCCAACTATGGTTTGTTGCATTTTAGTCTCGCTTTCCTATAGACATGCAAAGATTTTTTTCAGTTTAAATGAGTTAATGTGCATCTGTGTTTAAGTATATAGGAAAATTACATAAAATSCTTGGAACTTTGTACGTATTAAAAATCTTTATTTCCTAAATGAAGTTTTAGGGCCTGAAACAGCTACATATATGCAAACAGCTACATATATGAGTCCTACTGATCACTGCGATCTATCTGATCTACGAGCGTTACTTCTATGAGCAGCTTTAGTCATWTGTGTGATTGCAGGGTCAGATCCTCACAGCGATTGCAGTAATTGTTTCTGACTCAGAAAGCCCMATGTGCCTATCTTGACTCCTGATGAAAACTATAAGAATCCTTGTACTACAACTAAAATTTGCTTCTCTTTCCACTTCATAAATAGGCATGTTAGAAAATCAGCAACAAGCAGGAGAGGATGGAAGAGTGGAGAAGCTGACTGGKGAGGCATAGGTTTGGTTAATAGAATTAAATGTAAAATCTTTTCCGGAAACATACTGTAATAGATCACTGTCTTCTGAGGAAAAAATACTTCATTTTGATTTCAACAATACGATATGATACAATTTCAACAATATTCTTATTTAACAGTTAGYTATGCACACCTTATTCATGCAGTGCTAATTGCTTTCCTTATAATGTAATTGACTTGTTAAGTCAGAATATGAATTAATTGGTGGTATAGAAAATTAAATGATATCAAGTCAGGCCTAGTTGATTTGAGACTGGCATATTATCTCTTGATAGTAAATTTTGAATTTATATATATACAAATATATCTGTAATTAGAATGAAAAATAGTTTCCAGGCTGACTAATGAAAAGTGACAGCGTTTGTCTGGAAGTGCTGATAACTTAATCTTATTCAGATGTAAGCAGGCCGTTAAAATTTGATTTTGCATGTTGCAATGAAGAGTATTGAAGTATGAACATGTTGGGGGTTTTGTTGACTGATAAGCTTCCTGGAGAATAGTTTTTTCTTTTTTAACAGTCCTTAGCAGCTATAAGTTATGCTAACTTTTAGCTGCATCTTGTTAATGCTCATATACTTAAAATGTGCCTACACTCAAATTTAGATTTAAAAGAAGATATTTGAAGTTGGTATTTCTAAAAAACTCATAATCTGCCATTAAGATCATTTTCAAAGAATTCAGTGTCTGCAAAGCTGAACTGTGCAAATCTGCCCCCAATTATGGTCTTTAAGCTCTTCTGAATACCTAAATTACATTTAAATACATAAAGAGAAGGTTTCAGTCTTTTAAGAGTCTGGCTCCAACTTGCAGGCACAGAACACTCACAGGTTTGGCCAAAGCTCATCCTAAAACCTGGTCCTTTTAAAATAGGATCACAAATGTGTTGTGAATAATCTCATTCTTCCTTTATAATGACTCTTCCTTTATAATGAATCTCCAGGGTAGATGTCTATCATTTTCTTAAATGCAATAAGTGTTCGTATATGTGAATTTGAGGAAAAGAAAATGRAATGCTGGGAATGGAAATTGTTTCACTGAAATGGGAGCAGAGCTTCCATGGAGTTCAGTAAAACCAGGTGTTTGCTCTACATTAGCTTAAGGTTTCTTTAAAATCTTTATTAAAATGCCTTAAAGGAAGTTTCTATTACCGACTTAAAATGTTACTTTCATTATCAGGATTTCTTTTTGTATTTGATAACTGAACTATCATTTCCTTAATATTGAACTAATAACTTTTCTCTTTTGTATACAAGAATGTTATCTATATATTTAGTTCAAATAACTATAAGTGTTGCTTGAAGAAGGCAGAGTTTAATAAAAACATTGAAAACACATAAAGTATAAATACTGTCCAATAAATACTAAATTCCTTAGAAAATATTCCTCTAAATCCTGGCATACTTGTATTAARGTATGACTTTACAAAACTATAGACAGTTAGAATGAGCAGTGCAGACCAAAATACTATATAACCCCCAAATATTKCTTCAGTTTTCATTTGCTTGTATATTCTGTATAGCCTGTTCTCAGTAAAGTTTTGTATARCAGTTACAAATCAAAATGCTTTATAGCTAACATTCTTATATAATCTTTCAAAGTGCACACAGGGATGTGTCCTTGCACTGTTCATGAGAAACTTTGTAATTAATTAAAATCTAGCAACGTAGAACTGCGAAAAAAAACACAAAATCCAGTACCTGGTATCTGCTGAAGTTTTCCAGTGCCCAGGCTTTCTGCAACTTAATTTCACACTGCCAGAACTTCTGTATTAAATGCTTTTAGCTGCTTAAAAAAAAAAAAAAAAAAAAAAAAGTATGTCAGCACAAGCCCAGACGAAACTCCAAATCCGGGAAAATAAAATTAACCATGCAGATCAAAGGCAGACGAGCACTGAGACCAAATGCCTGTAATCTGATCAGTGATCAGTTGCCATACATCAAAGGCAGTGCTTTGGAGGGGAAAAAAAAGAGCTCCTTTTGCAGCAGGTACTTGCRCTCTTAAATTCTGCCTTTCAGTGCCCTAGTTCTTTTGTTAAAAATCGATCACTAACTTTTCTCCCCCCCCTTTCCTTTCTTGTGCTGGGAGAATGCACATGGCTCTTAAATGCTTCGGGTTGAGTGGCTGGATCCGTAGCTTTTGAGTTCCCAAGCTGTGTTGTGGATTGTGTGTTGGAAGCGTTCCCCAGTGCCAGCGGGTTCCGCTTTATCCCTTTCATCTCGCTGAGCTGCAGATCCCATGACATCATTCAATGCTGTGGGACTGGTTAGAGAGCTCGAATACAGCCTGTGGGGGAATACAGCTACAGAGCAACAAGAGTTTGCATGATTTCTAATCAGGTAAGTCCATTGTAACAAACCCAAGGCTCACTTCAAAGTTTCCATTACATTAAAGGTACCTCCTAAGAAGGGAGAATAACGTAGCTAAAAGGTTTTCTTTGTACAAAAGAATTAAAAAAAAAAAAAGAGGGAAAAAAAGGCTGTATAATTGGCTGTATAATTTTACCTACAACAGGAAGTTACAATTTTCTGGAAGTCAGATGTGCAGGACAGTTTGTTAGGCAGCTGTAACTAATGACACAAATCTACTTGTGCTTGTCTCTTTATTGTGCTCTGGAGCAGAGCAGAGGGTGTATTTTGTACACTGGAGCTGGCTTTTTGCAGTAGCAAAATCCAAGCACAATAGGGCATGGTCCAGTCTTCAGTTCATGTTCTCCCTGCTATTTACTGCGTGGCCTTTTGCAAATCATTTTATTTGGACCAGATTCATGTGTGGCTCATAATTCCTCTACATAAATGAGCCATGAAGCTGCCATAAGTAACCCACAGAAGCCCTGTAGAATAAGGACACTTCCAAAATGGGATAGGTTCAAAGTGCTCATATCCCGTCAGCAGAAGGAGGTTTTGAYGGGAATTAAAGGGTATTGATGGACATTTTCTGTGTCTCTGCTGTTTACAGCCCTAGAGATGGCTGAAGAACTCCATGGAAGCAGGATAATTCTCAAGATTGCTACAACTTGTGCTGYTTCAGTACAGAGAAAATGCAGAAGCAATGGACGACAGGATTTCATTTTTCCTGATAGTAGGCAAGGTTAACTTGTGCCATATAGATTAATTCCACCTTATGTGTTTCAGCTGTTAGTAAAACACATAAATACCCAGCAGGATGACTTCTAGGATAATAAGCCATATTGCAGGTATCACAGAAGTTCTGATAGATGTATTCTCCAGTCCTTGGGTCCACCCCGTGTGCAGATGCAAGCATGTCAGCCCTTGGTAGAATCCTGCAAATATTTCCAAGCTGAGTCACGCAAGAATTCATTAAAAGACACAAGTAGATAGAGCAAATGTGCTAGTCACGGCCGCCTCGAGCATAAAAARCAGAAGCAAACAAGCAGCACGTAAGGTATATTGGGTAGGAGTGATAAAGCGGGTGTCTTGCCAAGATTCCTCCTCATGTAACTGCCTCTCTCTTGCCACTGGGCCCCTGCGTTTGTCCAAGTCCTGCTTTTGGTGGGCTGCTGGTCCCCCCTTGCTGCTCCCCTGGCCTGGGCTGCTCTTGTTTCCGTGGCTTTGGCTGCACTTGGTAGGTTAGGGAGCCTTCTGCTGGCTGAATGATGTATGGTGGCCAGCACCAGGTCTAATRACTGATTAACGTCTCCAAAAAGCATCGAGATCCTTCTAGGGGATGCTGTGCAGTGTAGAAAAAGTTGGTAGCTGGGCTCAGTTTAAATAGTGTTTTGGATTATCTATGCAGGCAGGCCTTGGTGGGATGCTCAGGTAATTGAGATGGAGGAGATGTGTTGCAGGTACCAAGGAGTATCATGCAGGAAGCAAATCCACTTTCAGGAATAAGSTCCTGCTGAAAAAAATATGTAAGCMAACCATAAATTTCTGTCTTTCTCTAATTCCCATTTCTAATTATTATAAAGAAAATTATCAAGATGATTACTTCTATTTTAGCATTAATTTGCACCCTCCTGRCATACAACTTCCTTCTACTCCCCAAGAGATTTCTTGAAAACAGTCCATTTTCTGCTTTCATAATAGAACTGGAAGTGCTTAATCTGAAATTAATTTTACAGGCAAAATAGATTTTACAGATGATCTATACAGAACTGAAACAACCCTTTCCTATTCATTTTAAAGGTGTTTTCCTTTAAGAACAACATCATTTGCAAAAAAGCACCTCTTAGTTCTCTGTGTTTTAAGTAAAAGCAAATCCTAAAGGGCTGTTCGAGGTCTTTGATCTTTCTTTTGTACATATCAAAAAGAGAAGTAAGGTTAATTATTACCTTTTTAACCCCCTAAAGCTTAAGAATTGCATTTTGCATTTAAAACTCTGACTGTGGAGCCTAGTGTCCTGAACAAGCTGCAATTTCTTATCCTACTGTTGGCTCAAAATTTGACCAAAGTCTATGATAATAGTAACAGTAGCTGATATAATGCAGTATTTTTCCAAAGGGTGACAATCATCTTTTCCGTTGGTATAAAATGAAGTTAAAGTATATGCATGACGATTTTTATCAGGGATATGACAGCCTAATGCCGGAGCTAGAAATAGGACCTATGTAACCTAACACTMACTTCTATGCTCTGATCATCAGCTCATGCTTCCTCTTGTAGTCACTAATCTAGCAAAATTCCACTTTCAAGCACAAGTGGCCTGATTAAAATCCATTAGACAATTCAGTAGGGGTTTGATTCCAATCACTGAAATCGGTGAGGTGGAATCTGATCTGAAATTACTGAAATTGGGTATGCAGCTTGTATTTATTTTTAACTGTCTAAAAAGCTGCTCTAAAATAAACACCTTTTTCCTGTATGAAACCAGAGAGAGAGGGAGGATGAAAAGGAGGAAGGGAGGGAGGGGGGGAGATATTTCTGAAGTCCTGCAGAGGGAGATGCTGTCTTCCTGATTCATTACTTTAACTTTTCTGAACTTAGAAAGGACTTATTAAGTAGTTTCACCTTATTTAGTAGCTTTATCTTTCTCTTTTTACTATGAAATCAACCCAAGAGAGTTGTGTAATAATTTTCCTGGAAGTTGGACAAGAGTTAGGCTCGCATAGGTTAGATCCCACTTTAGGAGTTTTTAGAGAAAGCAGAACCAAGCCCGAACCTGCCACTCAGGCTTGCAGTGTTTAGTTGGATCAAAGCTATAAAAGAGAGCTAGCTGGTAGAAATGGCAGCTATGGAGAGACGATTCTTAAATATAACTAAACGTAAGAAAAATGCTTTGTAGGTCTAATTGTGGCTTTTGAAAAAAAAACCGCTATGTTAGTTATATAGTGTCACCATGAATTGGGCAGTAGTTGTTCCTGAATGCCTTGGGTCAGCTGATCTCTGAAAACATACAGAATTTTTCATGGAGTATCATRTGCTCCCATCCAACAACTGCAATGGTTATACAAACCTCTGCCACGTGTTCTTCTAGTATTCATGCTGTGCCTAATGCGTTTGTATCTTATACATCATATGATTTACCATGTTAATTCACTGATGGTGACAGGAGATTGTACCTCTTGTGTCACCCTTCCTTTACAACTTTCTATAGGAGCTCCAACATGGTTCAGGGAAAAGGTTGGGARTGATGGTCACAGAGGATGCAGTGACACCATTAATGCAAACTCGCTGCAACCATCTTTCATGATGCCTATCGGCTTTTGAAGTGTGACACAAATACTGTATGCACTATTACAAATGTCAGACTGGCAGCACCTGCACATTTGCAAGCTTTCATCATGCTCATCTCCTGGGGTGACTGTTATGATGATCAGCCATGAGCTACAGGGCTACTTTTGTAGACTTTGGTCACAGGTCCCAAAACAGTTGTGAGAAGTGCTGATCTTCGCCTCCCTAAAGAATTAGGGGGATATCATTCTGCGAGACTGTACAGTCCCATCCTCTGGAGAGATGGGTTAGAAAACACAGAGCTCTCCTCCTGCATGGTCTGCATTGCCATCTTAATATGATCTAACACCCCATTCCTGCCACATCATACGGGTGTTGTTAGTCCAGGTACTGCAGATACCCACTCCCACTCTCTGCTACAGTGCTTGCAATCTCCCTGATAGTCACTACCTATAATTTTACTGTTTACGATCTCCTTGGTAGTCACAAAGTTCTTAAGAACTCAATTACAGAAYCTTTAGGCAGAAAAATCATGGCCCTTTGGCACTTCCTGAAGGACTCACTCCCTGTTACTCCGGTGTGTCATCAGACTCACTGTGGCCTGCAACGCTCTGCACAGTCACTGCAGAGCAGTTGATTCTAGTCTAACACAAAGTTTGGATGTAGCACAAGTAACTTCTGATTTTCAGGGAAGAAGTCCTATCTACTACTTTTATATGCTGCAACGATAGCTCTTTGCCTATGCGGGTTACAAGGAGAAAGCAGTTTGGGTCTACTTCTGTATCTTACAGTCTACCTGTTATTGTTTGTTTCTTTCTTTGTGTACTGTGGCTCTTCACAAGACCCAGCTTTGATTGTGTCCCTTACATGTCTAAGATCTAAGTAAAATGGATATTTTTGATCCTTGGCTAACCAGAAGAATCACTCTAAGGGATCCCTCAAGGGCATTCCCTCCATTAGACAAGCTGGAAAGTTGGGAACTTGGCTTTGAGGTTGTCCTCGAGGATAATGCAGATGTACCTTCTAAGAAATACTAATTAATTCACCTGTTATTTGGAATCAGAAGCTGTGGTTTTGTTCCTACCTCTATCACATGATATGACTTGAGGCAAATCACTTTTTCTCACTGGATTAGATCCTCTAT